AAATTTTAAGAAAATAATATGCCATGTTTGGACTGGTATCCAATAGGGGTCAGGAAGTGACCAACAAGTCAACAAAATCGAACAGGCACCTTAGAATGTTGTACTTTTTAGGTCAAAATCTACTCCATCTTTTGGATGTACCAAAATCCAACAATGCTAAATTGCTTAAATTATATAGTAGTTGAAAGGCTTGCTTAATATTTAAATCTAGCCCATGGATTTGCAGCAACAAACCATGCAATTATATGGAGAAGAAGAATGTCCAGTTTATTCGATCATCATGCCACTCTCCAACAATCACTCGGTATGACTTCCAAGTGTGCTCCACTAGAGAGGAAATTTGTTAAAGAGTACTCTCAGTTCTCCATTACAACTATGTAAATATAAAATACAAAAGTATGCATCCTTCTCCTTGATGATTGCATTAGAACCAAAAGCATCATTAGCAACCCTTCAATCACCACTTTTTTTGCCTCCCCTCATCTAGTCTTAACACCAACCACCAGGCACCACCTCCAAATCTGTCCCTTGCCTCCGGAATTGGGATGGTCTCTCTACCAAACAAGGATAAAAGTAAGCCCCACAAGGACTTCCAAACTCCTCCCCACAACTCCTCTGTCACCTAGGTCTGAAGGGCATAAACCAACTAAGTGGCGTTCAATGCTCATGGTGGTCTACAAATCAACAGTGTCAATGGTGGCAGGACCATGGCCATCAATGATGGTGACAACTTATTTGGATAGGGATTCAAATAAGCTAGGGTTTTCAAGGGTAAAACTAATGTAGATAATTAATGATGCACGTGATGCTTCGCAAGTTGATTGTTCTTGTGACATCAGTGGAGCTATGTGAGTGAGGTTTTGAAAAGCGAATGAGATAAATTTGACATTTTACTAAGGACATTGGATACTATTTGCGACAACATTTCATTTGAGTCTCAAACCAAAGTTACTAATTAAAATTCAAGTTTGGGACTTGAACGAATTCATGCCAATGCAATGAATAATAAACCAATAATCAATTAAAATGCCAGCCCTCAAGTTCTTGGAACAAAGATTGAAGAAATTAAAAGCCAAGGGCTTGGGTGAGGCCACAAAATGAAATAAAGGTAAATGCAAAAAAAAAATTGTGGAGTGCAAAATATAAACTATTGGAATAAAAAAGGAGAAAGACAGATAAACAAGAAGAGATGGTTGCCAACAATGGGGAAGAAAGTAGGCCTAGTTCCATGATGGTTTCCTCCATGTGAGATAAATAATAAATAAATAAAGTCATGTGGAGAAGAAAGTAGAAAATTCTATTTTATTTTTAACTCTCTCTGCCAATGGCCTATGGAAGTATTAAAAGCTATTTCCACATGTAAACACTAGGAGCAGTGTTGGAGTGTGTCAAAAAGGAGACTGGCCAATGTTATTTACAACAGAGGGGCAATGCATAACATGCGTTCCTAACAGTATCATCGTGTGATTACTTCACACATCATGCAATTACTTCACTTACTACAATAATATCTCCCAGTTACAAGTGGCAAATGACAAAACAAAGAACCAATCAAAGATATCAAACATGCTAAAAATGCAAGTCCTTGATTAACATAACAGTATATACATGCAAGTTGACTAGATGTTAAATGCAAGCATAAAAAGATGTTCAACATAGAGGATTATCCACGTATCCCCAAAATTCATTATAGTCCACTAGGTGACTCAAGTGACAATAATGAAAACCTATCAACTATTGGACTGCCCCCACCACTAGAGCACATGAAACATCTTATATTTAGGTGTTACAATGACTCATCAAAAGGCCATTCAGAGATGAGGGTAAGAGGATAATGAACACCAATAACCAAACCAAACCAAACTGCTTTGCCTTGAGTCCCAACAAATGGGGTCGACTACCTGAATCCTTCTTTTTCACTCGACTCGGTCAACAACCATTTGGTTAGTTAAATTAAGGAGATTCATATCTCTATTTACTACACTTGCCCACGTCAATCTAGTTCTGCCCTTCCCCTAAACACTTCCATCTACCGTCACTGTATTACATCTCTTCATTACTGCCTCTGTTGTTCTCCGTTGTATATGATCAAACCATTTCAATTTATTCTCTCTCAACTTATCTTCTATCAGTGCTACTCCTACCCATTCACGAATATACTCATTCCTAATTCTGTCTTTTTTAATCTTGCCACACATCTACCTTAACATCTTCATCTCAACAGCACTCATCTTAACTACATGTTGTTTCTTAATTACCCAACATTCTGTCACATATAACATCGTTGGTCTGATAGCCGTTCTACAGAATTTTCCTTTTAGTCTAGTGGATAATTGTTTATTGCACAGTACCACAGACGCACTCATTCACTTAAGCTACCCTGCCTTAATTCTAAGGATCACATCCGCACCAATCTCCCCAATCATTGTAATAATCAATCATAAATAACGAAAATGTTCACTCTCAGGTAGTTTTTGGTTCTTAATCTTCACTTCTCTTCTGCTTCCATTGTTACTATTACTAAAATTACACTCCATATACATTTTCTTAATTCTGTTTATCCTAAATCCTTTAGATTCAAGTGTTTCTCTCCAAATCTCTAACTTAGTGTTAACTCCTCTAGTCTCATTCACTAACACAATATTATCTATAAAAAACATATACCATGATACATCATCCTGAATATTTCTCGTTAAGTTATCCATAACTAAAGCAAAACGATAAGGACTTAAGGTTGATCCTTAGTGTAACCCCACAATAATTGAAAATTCCCTTGTCTCTCCGGCACGCGATCTAATAACGGTCACCATACCTTCATACATGTCCCTAATCATATCAATTTACCCTTTTGTCATCCCTTTCTTCTCTAACACCCACCAGATTATATCCCGAGGCACTCTATCATATGCTTTTTCAAGATCGATAAAAACCATATGAATATCTCTTTTCTTTGCTTTTGTCTATACTTTTCTATTACTCTCCTCAAAAGATAGATAACTTTCATTATTGACTTACCCAACATAAATCCAAATTAATTCTCTGACACCTCTGTTATATCTCGCAATCGACATGTCATCACTCTCTCACACACTTTCATTATATGACACATTAGATTGATTTCTCTATAGGTGTTGCAATTTTGGACATCTCCTTTATTTTTATAGATTGACACTAAAATACTCTTCTTCCACTCCTCTGGAATTTTCCTCATCAACAAAATCTTATTAAATAGCCTAGAAAACCAAGCAACCCCCTTTTTACCCAAACATTTCCAAGCTTAAATAGTAATATCATCAGGTCCTAAAGTTTTATTCGATTTCATCTTCTTAAGTGCAATCTCCACTTCAAAGTTCCTAATCTTGCGATATAACCTGTAATCTTGATTTTTCTTATTACTGGCTACTTCCTCCCCTTTTGACATTCCTCCATGTTCCTCATTTAACAACTTCTCAAAATAGTTCTTCCATTTCTCATTAATTTCTCCATCCTTCACCAGTAATCTTTCCAAAAATATATATATTTACATATATTGCAATCAAACAGCAAGGGCTTCACTGTAGACTAGACGTAATATGGAGGCATCACCAATAATTTAAATTGATTATAAGTAAATGCGAAGAGTGAAGGTTTCACATATTAAAAGGAGTTCATCTTCAAGGAAAGGGGAAAGGCAAAAATAAATAAATAAACAAATAAAGAAGGATTAAAACAGACTAAAATATACACCAACACCAACACCAACTCCCAAAATTCTTGTAACATAATATAAATGTGACGAATAAAATAATACGACAGAACTAAGCACCAATTCATCAGAATGTGGTCCACTTACCTCAATTGCCAAAGGAACTACCTCTAAGGATTGATCTTCCCCTTTTTTTTATTTTTTATTTTTTAAACTCAAGCAAGCATTACACATAAGTAACAGCCAACAGCTACTCCAATCTTTTGCTGTCACCAAGCTATATATATCTCCACAACATTTTCGTGTAGCACAAGGCATTTCCATACACGCTACTTAAGTTTTCCATACATACATCGTGCAAGTATATATCATAATAAACTCAAATCATTACAAAAATCAAAATTTCAAAATATACAAAGTGAGAATTAGTATACCACAGATAGTGTATTCAACATGCTTATGTGTACTCAGATATTATCTAACATTCACCCCAAATAATGGGCTCAATATAGGTTTTATCAAAATTGACCAAAAACCATTTCCACCCATGCCATGCCATTAAAGCTTATCAAAACAGACACCAGCCTCTGAAGTGAAAATCTTTAATAAAAATTATCTATTTTCGATATGCTTATTAACACAAGCCCAGTGCAGTCATTGGTGAAGCAACTCCAACAAAACAAGGCAAACTTGATAAAAATAAAAAATAAGAATAAAAATAATTTAAAAAACCAAGACATAACACATATCTTCCGGACAAAACAGATTACCCAAACACCTGCATTCAGTTGCTGTCGCTTTCAGATTGAATTTACCGAAATTGAAAGAAATTATTATACATATTTAAATTAAAATATAGATAGAGGAATTGCACTAAACCCTAAATAGATAAATCCCCAAAATTGAAGGAAATTATTATACATATTTAAATTAAAATAGAGATAGAGAAATATAAAGATAAATTGCACTAAACCCTAAATAGAAAAATTCTCACTTCAAATCAGATGGCGGTGAATTAGCTACTAGAACAAAGAAAGGAGAGAAATTGATGAAATGCGACATAATAGTCCAGCATTTTCATTTCTTCGTCCTCGTATTCCCAGTAACCAAACACACAGTTAATCAAGGGAAATAAAAAAATCAAAACCCACTGTCGGGTTCTCGCAGATAATAAGTGGAACACAACAAAACAAACTAGGGTTTTGAGCGAAACACAATCACCTAACCTGAAAATCGAAGCACGCAGGCCAAATTTAAACAAACAAGGAAAAAATTGGAGTTGTGAAAACAGAAAAATTTTAAAAATGTGAGATACCTTTGGAGATCTGGTTGTTGCGAGATTCGAAGTCGGTCTTGTCAGCCATGGATGATCAGAGAGAGAGAGAGAGAGAGAGTTACAGATAGAGAGCAAAGAGAGAATGAGATAGAGAGATAGCTCGAACACACCCAAAAAAAAACCCTTTTTTTGGTGGTGCAACTTGCTAGCCTATGCGTAACTGCATTGCACACGTAGAGAGGACCGACACGGGAGAGCTGCTACGCACACCGAATTGACCCACCACGAACTGATATATACATACCCACACACACCGTACACAATGCTAAAGGGCGTGTACCGTGTTATGTCACAATACGACCCCGTCTTTCGAGATTTACATGGCAATTGGTTAGTAATCATAAAATTATCTATAATTTTAAATATAATTTAAATTATTTTTAAATATATGGAGCTTTGAATAATAAAATTTCATCCAATAAATGGTATACATATAACATGAACAAAAATATCTCATACATTAATTACTCACATCTTATAAACACACACTTACAAATATATTATAAATTTAATTCAGACTACATGTTCAAAATCTTATAAACACACACTTATATATTATAAATTTAATTCAGACTACATGTTTAAAATCTTATAAACACACACGTATATATTATAAATTTATTTCAAACTACATGTTCAAAGTCTTATACATAAGAACATTATTCAAAAGCTTACAAAACATAACTTTCTATAAACAAAAGTTAAGCATGACCAATAAAAACAAAGCAGAAAGACAAAAGCCTCATCAGAGAGGTACTCTTGGTTGACTTCACTCAAGTAAATATTGAACTTTTTTAATACTGGACATCCCGTTATTCACCTATAACGGAGTGAGTAAAAACCTAGTAAATAATAACAGAATAAAAAAGTTATATGAATGAGTTCTAATTCTTAGTTAAAATCATTCCCATATCAATTTCGTATCATAACAAAACGACTTCAGGTCCAAAACATGACAGAATGATCTCTAGTCTAACATAAACAAAAATTCATAACTGAACAGATTGTACTTGGCAGAACGACCATGGATCCACTCATTTACAGCTTTATATGACCATTTGGTTAACTCATATAGGATATTCGGACTTATTAGAGATTCGAAATGACCTTAGGTCCATCTCAATTATATAGAACAACCTTAGATCCATCATATACATTAATACTTGCCAATCACATTTACATAAATCATATATATCGAACAGATAGAAAGCTAATTCATACTTTCAAAATCACAAGTTCAAAAAAGTTTACCACATTGAAACAATCAGAAAATAGAATATATAGAAATATCTTTGCTAAGATATTACTCACAGCGATTAGGTTGTTGTCACGTCTTCGTAGATCAACCTATCCAATACAATAAACACACACATACATTGAAATACATTGCTTAATCAAATCTTACATTTTTTTTTTATCAATTTCTTATGTCCAATTCTTACTTATTAGGCCAATCATGAGGCTCAATTCATGTCTAAGAGTGCTCAGAAAGGATTGAAAACAAAAACATGGATAGAATATTAGTGGAAACAGAAACATGGATAAAATATGACTTTTCAAAATATGCTAAAATAAGGCACTTCGCTCGAGGGCACTAGTGGTTGCTTGAGTAGACCACATAGTCTGCAAAAGTACTAGATAGTCCGAATCTAGGTTCGATGGTCGCTCGAGTCAAAGTGCAAAACAAATTGAGATCGCTCGAGCAGTCACTTGGTCACTCGAGCTAACTGCAAGACTCTACAAAACTACTAGATGCATGAAATGTGCGCTCGAGTGACAACTTCTTTGCTCGAGCGATGTCGAATTCTAAGTTTTCTAGAACAGAATTTAAGCTTCAATACTCATGTTTTCAAATAAAAAACTTGCATGGCTTGTACACAATCTTACAAACACTTGGAAATTCTTTGAAAAAAAATGAACAAGTATCCAATTGAGGTCAACAACTCAAAACTCCATGAATTCTTCAACATTGAAACTTAAATCTTCATGCATGTATGATTTATTTTCAAATTCTTCTTCTAGAACTCTCAAAATATGAAATTGAACTTCAAATCAACATGATTTATGAATGCATGTATAATTCAACTTCTAAACTTGACATAGGTAACAAAACTTATGATCAAAATGATGATTCTACACTCACATATGCACGCATGTATGAATTAGCTTCAAATTCATCAACTTTTAGTTCAATTCTTGTGTTTAATCATATAATCTTTTGAATTCACATACTTGATGGCTTAAATTCAGGAATTGAGAATTAAATACTTACCCAAGGTCAGCTTAAAGTACGAAGAACTTGAGATCTACTTCATAATTCTTCAATCCCCTTGCTAAATTCTTCAAGTTTAAGCCTCTCTCCCTCTCTCTAAAATGTATTTTCAGCAATTAAGTTCAAAAGATGAGCTAAACCTCATCACTTAACATATATATACAAGGCAAGTATCTTAATACATTAATTAGGGATTAAGCTAATTGATTAGAGCTTAAGGCTAACTAAATAAAACTTAACTTAATTGATTTTATTTAATTGATTTTAGTCTGAATCAAATTTTAATCAAACTGCTCATTAGGCGCTCTAAAAATTATACCATTCTCATTAAACTAATCAATTTCGGTTTATGAAACCATTAAGGCCTTCAATTTTAGATTTATAACTGAAATCGTGATAGATATTCCGACAACGAACATATATGTATACAAATACACATCAAACATCTAATTGACCTTCAAAATTAAACAGATATAAGTATAATACATGATGGGATTGTCACAGTTTTCCCTCTTTTAAGAAGTTTGGTCATCCATACTTGTATTACCTTGTATCGCAATTCGAGGTACCTTTGCCTCATTTCGTCTTCTTTCTCCCAAGTTGCATTCATGCCATAGTGTTCTTTGTATTCTACCTTAACCATAGGGATTGCTCTATTCATTAACTGTTTCACTTGTCTATCAATGATCTGAATCGGTTTTTCTTCATACTCCATATTATCGTCGAGAGCTATCTGGTGATGATCAATAACGTGCAATGGATTTTGGAGATAGCATCTCAACATTGACACATGAAACACGTTATGAATTTGTTTCATTTCCGGTGATAAAGCAATTCAGTAAGTAACCAAACCAAGCTTTTCCAAAATCTGAAACGACCCAATATACCGAGAGGATAACTTGTCTTTCTTACTTGATTAACCTTTCATCAGAATCACTATAATAAACACATGATCACCAGCGTCATATTCAAGAGTCCTTTTTTTTTTTATCCGCATACCTCTTTTGTTGACTTTGTGCAGTTTTGAGCCTTTGCTGAATGATCTTAATCTTCTCAGTAGTTGTTTGCACAATCTCAAGACCAAGCAAAACTCTATCCCCAACTTCTGTCCAACAAACCGGAGATCTACATTTCCTACCATATAAGGCTTCATACGATGCCATGCTAATACTAGAGTGGAAACTATTGTATACAAATTCCACCAATGGCAAATAAGTTTCCTAACTTCCCTAGAAATCCAGAACACACACTCGAAGCATATCATCTGAAGTCTGTATAGTCCTCTTTGATTGCCCATCGATTTGCAGATGGAAAGCGGTGCTAAGACTCAATTATGTTCCCATTGCTCTTTGAAGACTCTTCAAGAATCTAGACACAAACTTAGGATCCCTATCGGAAACAGTGGATGCTAGAATTCCATGCAAACGAACAATCTCATCGATGTAAATAGTTGCAAGTCTATAAGCATCATAGCTAATTCTCGCATGTAGAAAATGTGCAAATTTAGTTAACCTATCCATAATAACCCAGATAGAGTTCATACCTCTAGGTGTCTGAGGTAATCTAACAATAAAGTCCATGGTATGTGCTTTCATTTCTATTCCGGAATAGGTAGAGGTTGAAGTAGCCCTGTCGGCCTCTGATGTTCCATTTTAACTTGCTGACATTGAAGGCATCTGGATACATAATATGTAATTTCCTTTTTCATGTTAGGCCACCAATAACTTTGCTTCAAATCTTGGTACATTTTATTGTTGCCTAGATGCATTGCAAACTTGCACTTGTGAGCTTCTTCTAAAATTTTTCGCTTGAGGTCGGGTACATTAGGGACACATAATCTTCCCTAAATTTCAACACTTGGTTCTGAACACTGAACCTCAGTCTTGGTTTTGATTCTATCTCACACATACCTTCTTGAAGAATTCATTATCCCTTTGCTTTCGCTTTATCTCGTCAATGATTGCCAGTTGAGTTGAAATGGTGGCTATCATTCTACCTTGTTCATGTAACACCACTTCAATCTTGGAACTTTCTAAGTCTTTTAGTAACTCTTTCTATTCAGTAATCAAACATGCCAAGTTCTCTATTGAATTCATACTCAAAGCATCGACTACGGTGTTAGCTTTCCCCGGATGATACTGAATCTGAAGATCATAGTCTTTAATTAGTTCTAACCATCTCCTCTGTTGCATGTTCGACTCTTTTTGAGTGAAAAAATACTTTAAACTCTTGTGGTCAATGTAAACCTCACATGTAGCTCTGTAAAGATAGTAGTGCCAAATCTTCAAAGCCAACACAACGGCGGCCAATTCCAAGTCATGAGTCAGGTAGTTCTTTTCATGAGGCTTCAACTGTCGAGATGCATAAGCTATCACCTTACCGTCTTACATCAAAACACAATCCAAACCCTTATACGAGGCATCACTATAAATCATAAAACCTTCTGTACCTGACAGTAAAGTTAAAACTGGTGATGTGGTTAGCCTTGTTTTCAGTTCTTGGAAAGCGGATTCTCTTTCATTAGTCCATTCGAACAGTTCTCCCTTTTGGGTAAATTGGGTAAGTGGTACAACTATCTTTGAGAAGTTTTTCACAAATCTTCTGTAATACCCAGCTAATTCCATGAAACTTCGGACTTCCGTCACATTTGTCGGTGTAGGCCAATTCATAATCACCTTAATCTTTTGCGGGTCTATTGAAATCTCATTCCTGTTAATCATATGCCCTAAAAATGCAACTTCATCTAACCAAAATTCACATTTCTTCAATTTTGCATAAAATTTCTTCTCCCTAAGTGTTTGCAAAATGGTTCTCAAATGTTGTTTATGTTCTTCTTTACTTTTCGAGTAAATCAAAATGACAT